TAGAAATAATTTAGAATCAGCTTTTTATTAAGTGACTTCACCATCTCATTTATGTGGTCAGATATCATAGCGCTTACCAGCTGAGCTTTAATGTAGTATACATGACTAATCTTTTTTCGTTTTTGAATAGGTTTTCGAGACTACACAACTCATGTATACACGATTAATGGCAATTTCGTTCCTAGATAAAACCCTAAACAAAATTGCTTTGCTTAATATTGTATTCTTTACTCTGCGAAATCCTTGGTCTACTTATTTAGAAAGAATGCTTGTCCTACTTAATCGATATGCTCCTCTTCAGCTCATAATTCCTTTGGATGCTGCCTTGTTTTCCACTTGTTATTGCATACATTTAATCTACTACATAGATTATAGATTCCTTTACTTCAAGGTTTATGTACTTGGCTTAGTTCTTCGATAAAGATAAGTCTCAGAACAGTCAGCTTTTTTAGCATAAGAAGGACATTCGTGATATGTAAACGAAAGGTAATTCATCTTATTGATCAGCACATCTTTCGCCAAAGCTACGAGCTAGCATCGCATAGTGCCTCTATTGAAATTAGCTTCAAGTTTCTATATTAACTTACACAGCTAAGCGTGTGTATACACTCAAGACAAGGTTGAACATGATAGGCCGCCCTGTCAGAACAAGCATTTCTGTGTGCTTTCGGCGTTAGTAACATTTTGTCTCACTCCATCGGCTTAAATCGATTAATTTATGGGCCAATCAGATGTACATTCTCCATTAGTGTTACACTGTTCTTAATACGCTCATGATCGACTGGTCATTTGGCGTTACTACCTGTTTTTCTACTTGTGTTATCACGGATTTATAATTTCTTCAGCATGTTATCAAGTATACCCTCTGACCTCACTCCTGGTAGCCTCTTATTTGCCGCTATTTGCATGATACCTCAGGGGATCCTAGCTATAGAATTTTCCTTCGAAAAATACCCCCAACTTCTGAGTCGAGTTAGACGTGAAAGTGGCAATCAAACAAATTCTGGTAATGGATTGTCCTCTGGTGCTATTGCTGCTGCAATTGTTGTACCGATTGTCAGCGTTATTCTTATACTTGCTCTTATATTGCTGTTTTGCTGGTTTCGTAAAAGGCGCTCTTCTCACGGCGTATACAATCCCGGCCCTAAAGAGGACCTTTCCATAATTTCGACTCAAAAACTCTTTCAGGATGTACTGAAAATGCCACCCGAGGAACGACTTATCTAGGATTCTATCCATCCAAAGGATTATCATCTTGGCCTATTTATTAACCTTTTATGAATTTGATGCTAAGATGTTTTTTCTAATGATGTGTATAATAACTTTCTGTCTTTATCGAGGACTTCTCCATCTACACTAAATTCCATCCAAGTCTTATATCCTATTGTAAAATATCCAATATATTTATAATACTGTGTATGCCTTATTTTATCTAACAAATCATGTCGGCTTCAACTCCAGCTATCTGAGCCTTCCCTCTGTGTTTTTAGCGAAAATGCATCGAATTTGCTCTCAAGGCAAGACCAGTTCGGCGCTATATCCCTAAGGCAAACTTTCAATATCGCATCTGGTGGTTTGTAACTTCTCAACAATTTGAATACCTTATATTCATATTTATCCTCATCAACACCATTTCCTTAGCAATGAAGGTAAGTGACCATTATATTGCAACTAGTGTAACTATCCAATACAGAGAGATTTTAATTGTTCTTTATTCTCTACTAATATTTTATCATTAAATAGTCAGGACACTAATAGACTATCATTTTATATGAAAGAATTTTGATCGTTGCTTGAGGAATTTATTGGTATTAGATCTTATAATGGATAAAAGGTAAAATCATGGTTTTCTTAAGACAGGCTCTTTAGTTCAGCTTAGATGCAGAAAATTCTGGCTTCAATGTAGGTTTTAAGTTTATAATCTAAATTATGAAGACCAAGGTAGTGTGGTCTTTGTTTTGATCGCTGTTCTACTTTATTTTCTAGTAATGATTTAAACTCATTTTCGAAGCCAGTTCCTTTTGTCAGAGAGACCTTAACCTTAGTTTATCACTATGACAAAGAACTTGTGCCAAAGCGCGTTCATCTAGGCCTCTAGCAGTATGACTAAGTTGCGAAAACAAAGCTATACCTTTTTTTTAATTCGATGATAATTTTATCAAGTATTACAAAAGGTTGGTGTAAACTTAAGGCCGCGTTATACAAGAAAAGATAATCATGGCTATAACCAAACACAAAATTAAGTTATATATAAGCTTAGTTAAATGTCCGATAAGGGAGCTCGAAAATATTTGGCTAGCCTTATATAATTTAGAAATTTTACTTCTATTCTTTGGATCGTCTTTAGCTTGTGGCTGTGTTGCGGAGTACATATAGAAGCATTCTAACTCATATCTCAATATCTCATATCTCATATCTCATATCTCAATAACTCATATCTCATATCTCATATCTCATATCTCAATATATCTTTAGCTTGTGGCTGTGTTGCGGAGTACATATAGAAGCATTCTATCTCATATCTCAATAGTAAGGCCTACTTTAAATGCATCTAAGTGTTTAATCTAGGTTGAGTTACATCATACGAAATCGTACCGTAAATCGT